CGTAGTAATACTTTTTATAACTACTATAGACAGACTACGCGGGCACATAATTCGGAATTATACAACATTAAAGCTAGTTAACTACTTACATGCTGTCGATGCCTGCGCTGGCGGGGAATTTTTTTCTTCTTCATACCAACCGTCAACTCAGCAATTCCACTAGGAGCGGAGGTATGAGAAGATATAATCGGGGGAAGGGAAGAGTTATCTGATCGTGCTAGCAGCTGGGCCAGCCGCTAAATTGATTTAATATCAGAACTTGTGGAGCCATCTGATATCGCCAGCTAAGCGCCGCCAACAAGTCCACCACAGAATATTACCTGCAGAAGACTTTTTTTGAAGCCAGGATGCAAGACTAAACGGTTGAGAGACGGATGAAATGAACATGTATTGACCTTTTTAGTCCAATATTGAGAGCATAGTCTCCTAAAGACGGTAATGATGCTGCCAACAACCAACATGTCTATCTAGCAGTGACAAGAAGAAAGCTGCCTCACCAACGAACAAGAAGAATGCTGCAGGAAAACTCAACTAACTGGACGGTGTTGTCCGTTGGGCCTTGCTCTGCGACTGTCCGCGGGCTGTGGGTTCATATTTGCTGGCTGCGAGAGCATAGCCAATAGCTAGCAGACAACCCCTGGCGGCACCACGAGAGCATAGCACGGCGGTACAACAGCCTGTCCTCTTAATATCGGAGCACTGCTCGTATCTCTATGCAGTCTGCCTCAACAAGTGGGCTTAGAGTCGACCAAAGGGCTCTATTGGGCCGGAGATTCCAACGGTCAGGTGGTGTGTATAGAGAATTTGAGCTACCCGCCGGGTAAGGGGGAGGAGATTTCACCAAGCGCCGGCCAGATGCCTCCGCTAAACTGGGCCCTTCATTAGGGGTATAAATACAGAATAGATCCTTCTCTATTCCCCCAATACTTGATGAAGAAGGGTTGCAGGGCTGCAGATTTCTCCTTCATTTCTACTTAGTCCTTCCTTTTTGTCTGTTTATATTTATTTGATCTGTGTCATTGAGACGTAGATAGATCTATAAGACAGCCCTTATACATACCATCTCCCTTCCACGAGCCGTTTACATATCATCTTACTCCTTCTTGTATATTTGTTTTCTGTACATTGTACAACTGATAACTGCCCCTCCTTTTTTATTCTTTCTTGGTTCAATATCCAATCATGGGTTGGTTACATCATGGCATCGTTGCAATGGCAGCGTTGTCTTCCATAATTCCCCAAACCCTCGCATTGCCGAGTCCGATATCCTCAAACGCAAATCAGCGCCAGGAACCCTGTGCACTGATAGCTAAGGCGCAAGAGGAACAGCGAAAGAAGGATCCATATGGTAAGCTACTTCGTAGCTCATGGCTATTCTGTGTGCAATCTTATTGAACCTGTCGTCTATAGCACGGGCATTACTCATCGAGGCCGGGCTGGCTCATGCCTGTCTAACATCCGTTCCGATCAAAAAGTCACACGCTCTTAAACTCATCGATGGTCTTTTCCCCTTTCTCGAATGGCAGAGCACAATTGATTATCTCAAGAATCCGCCCAAGGGATATCAGCTTCCTGGGGTTGACGTGGTAGGCGGCCTAAAGAAGATAAGGGATAAAGTGAGCCGTGGCGAGTATCCCAATGAATATTCGTTCCAAAATGAGTTGACTGCACTGATAGCATCTGCTTATGACGGTCATTTTTATGTCGACTTGGACCTTATGAGCGTGTTTAAGCTCGGGAGACCTGACATTGGGCCGCTCGTCTCTGTCTCCCAAGACGGGGTGAAGCTCCCAGAGGTATACGTCTTTAGTATGTATAGCAAGCATGCTTTTTTTCTTTCTTTTTTTTTTTTTCTCTTTTCTAGTCTTGTGTGCAGTTAGTTGCTAACGCACATGTAATCTAGGTGATTTGAATGCAACTGTAAAGGAGGGAGCAAAATGGAAACCATCTGCAGTCACGCAGATCGACGGCGAGGATGCCGTCGACTGGCTGCAGAAGTGGTCACACCATGGCGGCCAGCGGGATCTAGATTCATTGTACAGCGGCCTCTTCTACTCTATTCCAAAGATCGAGCAGGGCTGGTACGGAAGCTTCTATTCGGCGCTAGGTGCGTACCCTGGCGATAACACGACTCTTACCTTTGAAAACGGCACGACGAGGTCGTTTGTGAATCGCGCCAGTACCAGGGAAGTGTGGGCCGGGGTGAAGGATGGTGAATCGTTTTACCATCAATTCTGCAATGATGACGATGCCGAGGAACGGCGGAAGAGGAGGGATAACAGACACAGTGCCATTACGACTATTAGCCAGAGAGAAGTCCACTTTGAGAAACGGGATGAGCCTGGCAAGTCGCCGAGACCACTCTTCCCAAAGGCAGTGGAGGAGTTTGGAACTGGTGCAGTAGCAGGGTATTTCCTTGATGGCCGTAACGACGCAGCCGTGTTGTCTATCACCTCCCTCCTGGCAGAAGACAAGTCCGGCGGACTGCATTTCCAGCAGTATAGTGCTGTGGTCAGCAGGTTCCTGGCTGATTGTGCGAAAGCGAAAAAGTCGAAGCTCATCATCGATGTGACTGGAAATGGAGGCGGCACCGTCTTCATGGGCTATGATGTGTTCAAACAGGTAATTCTCCTCCGTTTGATATGTTTCCAGTTTTTTCGAGGCAAAGACCTAACATGGCTCTAGTTATTCCCCAAGAACGATCCCAATGATGCTTCTAACCTGCGGGCTACCGACCAGCTTGATTTCGTAGGCAAAAAAGTGAACAAGGCACTATCAGATGGCAGTGGCGGCAAACAGGCCGAGTCCCGGCGAGGAAAGGAGTTTGACGCTTCTGTGTTTATGGACATCCATGGACGGCCCCGGAAGAACTGGAAGGAATTCTTCGGCCCTGACGAGGTAAGTGGCTTCAAGTTCACGAACCTGTCGACCTGGGATCTGGGGAACAAGGACGTGGCTGGCTTTGCAGGGCAGACAACGGTGGCCGGGTACCTGGACCGAGCGAACCTGCCCCCTCCCGTCTTCCAGCCGGCGCAGATGGTCCTGCTGACCGACGGTGCCTGTGGCTCGACCTGCGCGCTAATGGCCGACCTGCTGAGGCGCAACGGGGTGAAATCAGTGGTGATAGGCGGGCGTCCGCGCCATGCTGGCCGGGTCGAGGCAGTCGGCGGCGTCAAGGGCACGCAGACGCTGACCATGAGTCAGATACGTAGTGTGGCCATACTGACCGTCGACGACCTCTCCTCCGAGAAGGAACAGGAGCGTCTGGCAAAGACACCCATCGGCAAGGTGGCCCGGAACGGCGACGATGCGCTCGCTCGCATCAAAGAGGGCGGAGTCAACTTTCGCAACGCCGTCCATCCGGACGATAGCTCGAAGACGCCGCTACAGTTTGTCAGCGAGCCGGCGGACTGCCGGCTCTGGACAACAACGCCCATGCTGTTCGACATGAACGAGGTCTGGCGCACCGTGTATGACGCTGCCTGGGGGGATGGCAGCAGCTGCACTCCGGGATCGATCGTCTAAGCACCAGCACAAGCATCAACACCGGTAGCTAAGTAGCTAGTAGCTCTCGGCAGCATCCATGTTCCCTGCTCGGCCCAGACAAATGACATGCAGAAGATAATCTTGGGATGACGGTGGTCGGCCAGCGAGGTAGTTTAGTCGTTCGTCATATCGTATCCAGGCCTGTCTGATATATATATCATCTCGCACACGATTCCAATATATTCCCTCCCCCTGCATATTATTCGGTAGCAGACACATCCTCTGGCCCCTCCCCCCCTTTTTTTTTCCTTCTTTCCAGCGTTGCACCAGTGTATGTACAGAGTACATGGATTAAAATGAATCAGACTCATAACAGCCATATAGAAATACAGCATCCAGCACCAGCACCAGAACCAAGCACGAAGCCCAGAATCCAGCGGAAAAAGCAAGCTGTTCCCTCCCAGCTTCTGGACGCTCGAGTTGCACATCGCAGCCAACTCGGGGCCTGCGCGATACTGCATAGGGCATAGACAGCAACCAAGCAGCCGGGGAAGGCCCTTTTCTTCTTCCTCTCCGCTCGTCGTCCTGCGAGGCGATAGCTTGTACATACTTAGTGTAGAGACCACGCAGCCCGTATAAGAGACGAGCGCACACCCGGTGGGTTCCAAGGGGGGGAGCGGGCTCCTCAGGCGCAGGCAACCAGACAGACGATGGCGACTCTCTGAAACACGCAGGCCAGGAAAAAAACCAGCGCAGGCAAGGCGACAGATCGCTTTTCTCACGCCATATTCGCCGGAGGACGCTGACGGACGCTGCTGTTATCTTCGCCCTAGACGACCAGTTAGCAGAGACTCCGATAGATATATATATATACACACACACAGAGAGAGAGAGAGAGAGACAGAGAGACAGGCTGCCTATCTTGCGCTATAACTCCCTAGTATAGGCGGGCTGGCCGGCGCTGCGACTCGAGATCCCACCCCCGGGTCGATACGAGAACGACGGCGGAATCGTCTTCGCGTGCGTTTGCCGGCGCTGTCCGCAAGCCCATGGCGGAGACGATTTCCATTACTATCTGCGGTGATGGAGGATGCGGTACGTTGTCGTTGTCGTTGGTGTTGGTGTTGGTGATGTTTGGTGTTTGGTGTTTGTTGTTTGTTGTTATTAGCAGGGCCTGGACAGTTATATAACGACCGGGACGGGATGTTTGGATAGCTGACCGCAACCAGGCAAGTCGTCGATTACGCTGCGGCTGGTCCGAAGCCAGTGGACTCACGAGTAAGTAGAGCCGGTTATCCAGGCATCCAGAGATCCAGCGAGGCGTTTCGTGGGCTAACATCGCGGCTGCAGGTATGATCCAACCATCGGTACGTCCAGACAATGATACACAGAGAAGACGAAGACGAAGACGAAGACGACGAAGAAGGACAGTCTAACAGGATGAGATGCTATAGAAGACTCCTACTCGGTGACTCGGACGGTCGACGGGCTGCCGTACTTCCTCTCGCTCACCGACACGGCCGGCCAGGAGGAGTATCGCGGCCTGTGGGCTGCATCAAACCTCAATTCCGATGCCTTTCTGCTGGTGTACGACATCACCAACGAGCCCACGCTCGAGACGCTGGGCCACTTCATGGAGATGATAGACATGGAGACGGAGAACCGGGAGGAGCAGAACATCCGCCTGCTCAAGCAGTTCTATCGCGACTATCCCGACCAGCCGCCCGAGGACGTCCCGACGCTGGGCATGCCGCCGCCAGTCAAGATCGTGGCCGGCAACAAGTGTGATCTCAAGGAAGCCCGGGTCATCAGCTCCAGACGGGGCCTCGAATGGGCCAGGAGCAGAGGCTGCGGCTTCATGGAGACCAGTGCGTGGGAGATGGTCAATATCGAAGAGACCTTTGCCTGTACGCCGTGTCCCCTTTTTTTACTTATCATTATTATTATTACTATTATCACTAACTAACAGTGGACAGTGATTGTACGACGGGTAGTAGAGGCCCGTAAGCTACACCGGGAGCAGCAGATAGCTCAGCTCCATGCTTTCAAAGAGGCAGAGCAGCTCTCTTCGGCCTCACGCTTCTTCTCCGCCGCCTGCAGGCGAGCCACGGAGCCCATAGCCCTCAGCCAGACGGCTCCTCTCACTACAGAAGAGAGACAAGACCCTACAGGACGCAGTGTCAGCTCGGGCGCACGCTCCCGTCGGCGAAGCATCTGGCTCATCGTCCAGCAGGCACTGACCAGACGGGCCAACGCTGCTAATTCGAAACGTCCCAGGTCTGGTCAGCCGATCCTCAACCCCAATCAGTGGGAGAACCAGAGCCAGGGCCAGGGTCACAGCCAGGGGCAGTCTCGTCCGGGCACCCTGTCCACGCATTCGAGCAAGAAGCCAGATCCGGACATGGGCGAGCCAGGTTACCCTAACAACTATCCTCACTCAGATCACAGGCATGCTGGGCTCGGCCAGTTTAAACCTTCAGAGCGTGTTTCCATACCATGGTGGAAGACGCTGTGCTGCTGTAGCGGCAGTTAAGCCACCACTACAGCTATACTTAAGCTATATATATACCATGCCTAGCCCCTTCATTGCCCCTGAATATCCCCTTTGTTCACCGTCACCTGGCCACCACCAATCCCGACTGCTACTCTAATGCTTGTCACACACAGCTCGCTACCTCGACCACGCGACCTCCTTCCTGATCTTTCTTTGCTTTTCTTTATTAGCTATATAATTCCCCACGGCTGGATCGGAACCTCTCATTCTTGCCCTTCTCTACCTAGTTTTGCTCGATTTGATACATATATAGAGGTCCGCACCACTGCATCTTAATCCCGTCTTGCTCTGGGTGGATAGTTTTGCATTTTATTGCTTTTCTTTCTTTCTTGTCTTGTCTTTTCTTTTTCTTTTGATTTAAGCTGGCTGGATGCATGTTTCAACATATATCTTGCCTGTTTATCCTACCTAACGATTACGGAGTATGTCCACCCACATATATACACATTTCTACGGAGTATGATTTGAGTGTCTAGCAGCAATCCTACTGTTTTTTTGCATTGTTTGTGTTTATTTACTTTGCTCCCATCTATTTAAACTTAGCTTTAATTGCCGACAGTAAGTTTGGTCAATGGGACAGGGACAGGGACACCCTAATTCTGGGATCTCTGAAGGAGTCGTAACATGCAGGCCATCTTCATAAATATGCAGCTGCTGAACGCCTGCTAGAGCCACCGTTTCTTCAAGCTGGCCGAGCGAAGGATTGCAGATTCGGTCCTTCAACTGTACCAGAAACATGGTAAGCAAGGGGGGCACCCACGCTCATCATCTATATCCCACGATCCATCCTCCATAGGAACCGGGTATCAACGATAGTAATAGCAGAAGACTCATATACCAGCTCCCTTCCAACGGGATGTGGAATCAAGAAAACAAATCGGTATATTAATTATTGAACCCAGCGCTTTTATTCTCCACGGAAAGCTCCCCCGCGGATCCTGCGGCTCGGCAGTAGGTGCCGCTCAAAGAGTCTATTTTCCCCCACGGGTGGTCATTGCAGCTCTCCCCCTATATATGCATTATTCAATGGTCTGTATGCATCTTCGTCTAACGCCCCCCAGGCACGGAGCATTCGGGCTCGCAACAGTGTGATTGAGTGGATAATGGGGCGCCTCAACCCAAAATTCCCCGGCTTCTCAAGCTCAAGAACCTTTGTTCATTCTCCTTCTTCCTCTCAACCACGTTAACGTCTCGCCGTCCGTGCCGAACAAGGGTAAAAATGGTACAGTATCACACCACCACCTCTTGCACGGGCGGTGGCCCGTCCTGTGCATATCACCGACATATAACCTTGAGACGTGGGGGGCTCGCCTCGCAACATGCAGAGTCCGGGGGTTGCTTAATGACTATGTTAGCGGTTTAAATCCTATCAATGTACGCTTATGTGCCTCTTACCCGTCTTATATTGACATAACATCACAATTAACCAGGGACAATGGGTCGAGTCTCCGGTCTTGATGTTGATACTCCATATAGATCTATGCCGCTTGAGCCGCGCTGAGAGAGAGCTGCCATCCCGCCCAGGAGCAAACCGCTAGTCAACGATGTACTGCCCCGTATTATTCCTCCTCTCGGGTCAGATTCTTCATCTTCATCCCCGTCTTCTTTTCTATCATCATCATCGCCGTCGTCGTCGCTGTCGTCGTCGCTGTCTTCGCCTTCAGTGTTTGTGTTCAAATTATGCACCACGTGATATGAAATATGCTTTCCATTATTACAGTAATATTACACAATCTTCAGTGTGAAGTTTCGTATTGTATATACCTGTAATGTAAGCACGTGATATGGCTCTGCGCAAGCCAAAAAGGGACGATTTGACGACGCTGAAGAAGAAGAAGAACCAAACAATTTTCAACCACATCGCGATATTGACGGCAGCAGAAGAGCTGCCATGCTGGAAGAGGGCAAAAGGTGAGGAAATGAACCCGAATGAAGGCTGACTCGGGGCAATGGCAGGACTGGATTCAGCCCTGGATAACCAGCCACGGGATGACGAGTCGACGCTGCTGCTCTCCAGCTCGCTTATGGAGTACACAGACGTATACGTGGTTAGGTCGCGGCCCGTCGACAGGCATTGTGTTTGATTGAAGGGGGATTCAGGCCAGTAACTTACTCCCCGGCGGATAGTAGTGATGCTGTCCCTACAGGCACACAACGTGGGGTACGGCCACTCTAACGCGGGTCTGAAGCCGTTGGTCGAAGCTGCTGGTCTTGTGGCCAGCTTTAACTATATACAGGGGGGAAGAGGCATAACGAGAGCCTACATATGTACTCCATACTTCCCCCCCTTTTAGCCTGATCAGGAGATTGCTAGACGAGGGGTATATCGTTATGCGAATCCCGTCTTTCTGCTTAATACCGACCGGACGGAGTTACGGTGCGCAGCGCCTCCGCTCGAGGCGCTTGTTGTGATATTCCAGCCACAAATCGCAACCGTTGCCCAATACAGGTACAAAATCGTATTTGTGGTGGATGAGCAGCTCTTACAGGGGCCGTAAAAGCCCACAGCCCACAGCCCACGCGATGCACATCAATAATCATAGCCAGGAGACGAATGAACGGAATCTTGCTGCCTATCCTCCAGCAAAGAAGGGGGAGGAATCGGGCTCTTGGCCTTGCGAATACGCTGCTGCGTTTGCGCCCTGGTTCCAGAAAAAAAAAAAAATGCAAAACATGCTAAGAGAAGGTCAAAACGAAAAATTAAAAATGAAAAAAAGGCAAAGAGGACGATGAAGGAGCAAAGTCATGGCGGACGAATTTGTCAACCATGCGGCAAAAGCGCTGCAATTCACCAAATAAGCATAAGAATTGTCAAGAAAAAAAGCAAGATTCATGTTCGTCCGGGATGGATGGTCGCAAAGTCCGGTATTTGGCTTACAAACTGATACGTCTCGGATACGGCACCTGAAGTCCTCTCTCACCAATAATTTGGAATCAAGCGCTCTGCATAACTAATACAGCTTGGATGAGTCAGTTTGCAAAATAAGAGGCTGCGCTAAAGAGAGGTCGGTTGATGATCTCCTTGTCTCGCTCCGGGCCCGACTCGGCACCAAAGTTCCTCCTTCCGCGGACGAGGAGCGGTAGCAGACGCAGAGACAGAGAGCCAGAGCCAGCAAAGACGAGAAAAGAAACCGGAATGACGGCAGTCACACATTCAGAAAGACTAACAAGGGCCATGAGTTACTTATACTCGCACGGCAATATGGAGCCTTTCTATATTCCTGGGTTCCATCGTCACGAGCTGTGGTCGAAGCCTAGACAAGAAAAAAAATAAAGGCGAAGTTTGCTCCGAAATAGTTACATTCTATGCGAGATGCAGACAGGCGTATACGCACTCTTAGCAAAATGTATGTTAATGTCATTGCAGGTATGCAAACGAATACTTTCCAACATGACAGGACCGACCAGCTATGATCCCAGGATCCAGGGACATAACCAGCTCGAGGCCCTTCGGCCAAGGATAAACAAGAACAATAGTTCTGGGAATGACATCAACGGCTCGGCGAGTAAAGCGACATTATTGCATGCTCGCACTCCCTCGACCATGGAACTGTCTTATTTTTAGTTTTCCTTTTTCTTTTTACCTCATGTTGGCTTGTCACTCATTTTTGCATGAAATTTCGCAAAAAAGACACTTTGGGGGTGGAAGAAAGGGAGCCCAGCTGTCATCCAGCCTCCATTCCTCCAGCCCACACACCCACCCCAGCCCAGTCTAGTACGGAGTCGGTCTCCGTGGACTTTGACTAGGTATCATTTGCTTATGATCAATCGGCGCCGCGTTGGAGTACTGCGATGTACTATATGTACTCCTGCCAGCCGAACTAACTTTCGGGGTTCCTTGAGATGAGCAATGTCGTATAAGATAAACATCACTGCCCTTTCTCTTTTATATTTCTTCCTTCTTCCCCCCTAGTTGGAAGAAGGCAGGATATTAGAGCATTCACTCTCCATATTTTCCACGGCTTTCTTTCTCTTTCTCTCTCTCTTGATACTTCGAGTTGATCTTAACCTCAGAACTAGAGAACAATAAGAAAAGGTGACACTTGAGCGTCACCATCTACGAAAGGCATTGCTCGTTACTATTACTCTCAGTTATTTGGTTACACTTATGCCGCCGCGATCATTCCTGTCACCAAGAAGACTGTTCAATTAAGCTCACTAAGCTACTATATACAACTCTACCAGGCTCACGGCTTACCAAAGAGTCGCTAATTTAACGATTTAATTGCTCAATTTCTTTTCCCCTTCCGCACCATTTCATCGAGCGCCTGAGGCAGCGCAAACGAAGGAGGCTCCAACATCCATAGCATCTTTCCGTATAACTCACGACACAACCAACCAAGCGCCTGGAGATACCCACCCGTTAAACAAAGGGCCAACATACCCTGAACAAGCAAAGGCAGAAAGGAACGGGTCCTTTCAGGGCGTTCCATTGCCTTCTCATATACCCCTGAGCATTAAAATACAAAGGCGCAGTAAGCGAAGTTACTGTTATTGGTGCCATCCATGCCTAGCTCACGAGCCATGTCTTCGTCATCATCACCAAGGATGTCAAGCCTGTCAGACTCTAATGACAGCAACGCCATTCGCAAAAGGGTCGGCAAGGCCTGTGATAGATGTCGACTCAAGAAATCAAAGGTATGCACAGAGTCATAGCAGAAAGGAACATACAGTTTGCCACGTTAAACCATGCGCTAACCGACGGGCCCCTTTTCCGTTTTACGTAGTGTGATGGAGATTTGCCCTGCGCCCGATGCAGTGCTGATAATGTTGTCTGCGTGTATGGAGAGCGCAAGAGAACACATGACAAAACTTATCCCAAAGGGTAAGTCAAATTCTCCATTTCTGGGCATCAATCCCTATATTGATCATTATGCTATAGATACGTTGAGTTGCTGGAACATCAGCAAACCTCGCTGGTTTTTGGCATCCAAGAAATGTATAAGTTGTTGATTAAAGGGAATAAGTGGCCTGGCCAACCATTAAATAACTCCCATAATGGTCACCCGTTGACACATGACATACTGGAGCGACTGGGGGCGTTGAATGTAGCAGATGGGCCAGCCAATGCCGGGCTGCCGAGATTTGAAGAGGATTTGGAGGCGATGCAAGCTCAACTGCTACGCAAAAGTCCAGAACGGGCGCAAGTGACCCAGCATCCCGGGCGAATGGAGCTGGCCGAACAGACAGATACGATGGGTCTGTTAGATCAACCAGAGAAAATGGACCTTGAAGAGGAACAGGGCAGAGGAGAATCGATGGATTCGACTTCTGAGGGGGCATCCCCTCCTTCTCATGCGACCGAATCCTCCTCCCCATCGAGTCTCCCAAGCCCGGTGCTGGAAGACACCTTCGTCATCGACAGCTTCCCTCAAGCGCTCTCCACTTCAGAGCCCCATCAGGGCCATAGTCAACTGGCTGCATCCTTACAGCAGCTATATTATGCCCAGCAACAGCAGCAGCAGCAGGACCAACAAACGGCATTCAATCCCGCAGCACTCTTTTCGGACCTGGCTACTGCACGGAGTGAAGGCATTGTCTCACCACAGAACCTCCAATTGGGATTTGCAGATGCGCTGCTGACATTTGATCAAATGGAATCAATTCAATCTCAGTATGTCCAAACTCCCTGGATCCTATATAATGACTATTCACGCTAACCAGTTTTAAAGCAACATGTTTCCGGACCTAACGAGTTCTGCCCTTGTCTAATCCTGATGACCTTACAGTATGGCCTCTACGAATTTCTTTACTTTATCTTTAATATTCCCTCTTTGGATGTCTCTCATACTACGTTTTGAAGGGAAGGATAGGGCATGAATGGTTTTTCTTCTGTTGTGCATTTGCTGGCGTTAATATTTTTTCCTTGGCTGTATATTCACGTTTAGCAGATGCTGGTGGCAAACGCTGGATAGTTACCAGGTTCTCCCCTCTCATTCAATCATTCTAGACTTTTGATGACGATCGACGACATCCCTGATTTCTGTTCGCGCCTTTTCCTCTCCCTTAAAAATAGGAACTTGAAAGTTCTAGTTAAGCTACGTAGCTCAGGCAAAAAGGAAAAAGCAAAACGAGGCTAGAAAAAAGAAAGGAAGCGATGCTCGTTACTTGATGCTCGATAGTTAGTTATATATCGATCTCTAAGCGCTTGCTGACGTTGCAATTGACCTTCGGAGCTCTTGTAATATTAATAATATTCATCTCTAGATGACCTAGAAGAGGGTATCTTTGTATATAAGCAGAAGTGATCGGCCGTTCGGATACAACTTACTAGGGCTTATATGCATCGGCTTAACCAGTTATCCCCGGTTTGTCAAAAAGCCACTGTACAGTAATTATATCCAGCTGTGCAGAACCAAGCTGTTGCTCGTTCTCGGCTGCTCTATCAAATGATCCAGTCCTGGCCTGTTCTCAGCCGTGGCTAATAGGGGCATCTCAAATCATTGTACAGGAATCGGATAGAGAGATACCGGGGCATCTTTCATCCTCGTACGAATCTTCCGCTCCGAATCCCGGTCTCGTCTGCGGAACGAGCTTCTTCATCCGTTATTGGCACATCCATGGATGGATAAATTAGTTATGCGGTTAATGCACAGTCAATGATTCTCTTCGCGCATCCACATGCATATCCACACATATCGAGAGACGGCGATTCTCGCCGCAACGAGATCAACCTTCCTGGCCAATTCATGTCCGATCGTGGGTCTCTGCCCTCTCAAGACTCCACTACCATGTGTTGTTGGCTTCGTCGGGACGGCTTGCTGGTATCCCTTTTGTGCACCGCTGTGAGCGTTACGAGACAAGCAACACATGCATGCATCTGCACACTGTAAATGGATGTCTATAAGTAATCTCGGAGCA